TGTGCTGGTCAGGGTGAACATGTCTCTGTCTCTTTCTCTCTCTGCAGTCCGTGCTGTTCGGACCAGGACCCCAAAGACTTCTGCCCCTCAGAGTGAGTCCCTCTGTCCTCTTTGAGTATCTAGAGCTGGTTCCTCAGCCCTTGTGTAGGAGCAGCCACTAGAAGGGTGTCTGTGTGTTTGTTTCAGGAATCGCGCTCATCAGCAGAGAGGAGTGGGCAGGAGCCTTGAATGAAGTGATCGAGGAGCTGGATGCAGACGAGTACAAGAAGCTGAAGAACATTCTGAACCAGAAGGGGATGCCCCGGGGTGTACTGGGAGACATCGAGAAGCAGGACCTGGCCCACAGGATCGTCTCCCACTTCGGAACGGAGGCGTCTGTTCACGTCGTTCAGGAAGCCATGGCCAGAATTCCTCGGAACGACGCAGCGATACAGGAATTACTGAAGCCCTTTGTGGAGCAGCTGAGATAGAGAAGGAGCATAAGGACACCCTGTAGGACTACAGTGTTTCACCATGAGGGAGTCACTCCTGAGGGACACACAGTCGTCCTCTCTCGGCTCACAGCGACGCCCCTGAGCCACACAGAGAGCGTGTGAGGAAGATCACACAGGCTCCTCTGAGCCTGCACTGGTCCAGCCCATGAACACAGCAGAGCTGCCACTCTGTAGCCTGATGCCCTCAGAGCTCAGAGCTCAGCAAGGCTGGGAGACTGTAAGGAAACCAGGACGCTTCTGCTGTCTGTGGAGGTTGTGGACCAGCAGGTGGCGCTGTTCCCTCTGGAGCTCTGTGACCCAGGACAGTGACCAGGGACACTGGGCTGTTGGAGGTGCTGCACTTCAGATGAAACTTCTGTAGCACCAAGGCGTAGCATAAACATTTCCCAATAATCTCTGCCCTTGAGTGAACGACAGTCCAGCCCCTGGGAGTCTGTCCGAGGTGGGTTTCTCTGATGAGCACAAGGTCCTGACTCCAACACAAACCAGAGGGTCCAATTTGACATCTCCCGTGACAGGAAATACTCATGTGGACCCATACTGGTGGGGTGACGGGTCTCCTCTGGAGTTGAGCTCTAGCTGGGGGTAACCGATCAAACATCTGAAAGATGAACAGCCAATGAGGAGCCTGAAGAGCTACACCTGATGACGTCGCAGCCAATCAGCAGATGTGATGACTGGATTTGAAAAGGTACCGAACCTCCGCAGAGACTGAGGGCGAAGCACCAGAAGGAGCTGCAGAACCACCTCCGCAGGATGGAGGAGGAGATCCAGACACGAGAGGAGAAGATCAGAGCGCTGGAGGAGCAGATAGTAGAGCTGGAGGAGAGGGATGAGGGGAGGAGGAGAGAACTGGAGGAGGAGCTGAGGAGAGAGAGAGGGGAGAGAGAGGCTGCAGAGAGAAATGGGGGACGTGAGAGAGGAGCAGGAGAGGGAGAGGAGAGAGAGAGAGGAGACACACAGAAGGGAGATGGAGGAGCTCAGGCAGCACTATGAGGAAAAGGCCAGAGAGGAGGCAGAGAGACACAGAGAGACTCTCCAGCAGGTCAGTGTGTCGACAACACAGTTCACTCCAGCAGGACAGGAGCACAGGAGCTGCAGGAGGGAGATCGAGGAGCTGAGAGAGACAGTAGAGAGATACAGAGAGACAATAGAGAGACAAAACACAGTGATAGACAGACTCACTCTGTGGCATCAGAGACACACAGGAGATACAGGAGAGTGATTGAGGACCACAAGCAGCACATCGAGAAGAAGGTCACAGAAGATGACTGAGACAAGAGCGCACACAGCCCGCAGGCACACAAGAGCACACACAGCCCACAGACGCACAAGAGCACACACAGCCCGCAGACACACGAGAGCGCACACAGCCCATACAGTAGTCACAACGCAGTCTCACACACAACCTGAAGGCACTCAAGAATACATAACCCTCAGACACATAGAGAACACACACAGCCCGCAGACACAATGAGCAGACACACACAGCCCGCAGACACACACAGCCCACAGACAGGAGATCGAGGAGCTGAGAGAGAGCTGAAGACACTGAGACAGGAGCAGGAGAGGGAGAGGAGGAACTCAGGCAGTGTTATCCGAGTGACGGAGAGACACAGAGACACTGCCGCAGGTCAGTCACTGATCCACACAGTCTTTCCCAGCGGGAGAGGAAGACCAGATACTTCCTGGACACAGAGTGAGGACTTTCCACTGAAACACTGATCTCCTCCTCGTAAGAGATCCGACTCACTGAAAACCAGCCCTTAGTGTCCCATGTGAAGAAAACTAATTTTAAATTAATGTTCTATTTTTATCATGTTTGTATTTTGATATTCTTTGTATATATATATAAATATCATGAATACTTTTGGATATAATTCTGACATTGTATATGTGTGTGTAACAGAATATATGTGTATAATTGTAACAGTGGAACAGTGAGTTTCTATCCAGCTGTGGGTCTGGCGGTGTCACACCCGGTATAAGAGCACAGTGTCGCTGACCGGGACTCCGCAGTGGGAAAGTGGCCGGTTGTGGCCGAGATGGCGAGCAGCTGTTTCCGGCGGGCGCCAGGCAGGGTGGGCCAGGACAGGCGTGAGGCGGCCGGGCTGTGTCTGCGGTCCCAGCGGGGGCGTGTGCCTCCTCCTCACAGCGTGTCTGGTGTGGGTGTCCGAGGGGCTGCTCATGAGGGGTCTTGAGGAAGAGAC